TTTTTTTAATTGACTCTTTGTTCCAAACTGTTTTTCACACACTGTACAGCTGTAAGGTTTCTCCCCAGTGTGTATTCTATCATGTTTTTTTAATTGACTCTTTGTTCCAAACTGTTTTTCACACACTGTACAACTGTAAGGTTTCACCCCAGTGTGTATTCTTTCATGTTCTTTTAAATGACTCTTTGTTCCAAACTGTTTTTCACACACTGTACAACTGTAAGGTTTCACCCCAGTGTGTATTCTTTCATGTTCTTTTAAATGACTGTTTGTTCCAAACTGTTTTTCACACACTGAACAAATGTAAGGATTCACCCCAGTGTGTATTCTCTCATGTACTTTTAAATGACTGTTTGTTCCAAACTGTTTTTCACACACTGTACAACTGTAAGGTTTCTCCCCAGTGTGTAACCTTTCATGTATTTTTAAATCACCATTTCTTGCACAGTTGTACAGTGTGTGAAAAACAGTTTAACAAACACACATTTAAAAGTACATGAAAGAATACACACTGGGGTGAAACCTTGCCTGTTGTCTTTCCGTGTATCTACTTCTATGTAGATATAATAGTACTGCATGTTATATATCCATGTAACTACTTCTATATATAATAGTAATGTCTGTTATATGTTCATGTAACTACTTCTATAATAATATAATAGTACTGTCTTTTGTCTGTCCATGTAAATACTTCTATATAAGCACAATAATACTCTCTACTGCATGTTCATGTAACCACTTCTATATAAATATAAAAGTGCTGTCTGTTGTATGTTCAAATAACTACTTCTTTATAAATATAATGGTACTGTCTGTTGTATATCCATGTAACTACTTTTTATAAATATAATATTACTCTCTGTTTTATGTCCATGTAGCTACTTCCATATAAATATAATATTACTGTCTTTTGCATGTCTATGCAACTTCTTCTATATAAATATAATATTACAGTCCCCTGTATGTCCATGTAGCTACCTCCATATAAATATAATATTTCTGTTTTTTGTATGTCCATGTAACTAATTTTATATAAATATAAAAGCACTTTTGTTTCCATGTTCTTGTAACTACTTCTAAATAAATATAATAGTACTAACTTTTGTCTGTCAATGTAAATTCTTACATGTAACTACAATATTACTGTCGGTTGTATATCCATGTAACTACTTCTGTATAAATATAACAATACTATTTGTAGTATGTCCATGTAACTACTTCTATATAAATATAATAATACTCTCTATTGTATGTTCATGTAACTACTTCTATATGAATATAATAGTAATGTCTATTGTATGTCCATATAACTACTTTTATATAAATATCATAGTACTGTCGGTTGTCTGTCCATGTAACTACTTCTATATAGATATATTAATACTCTCCATTCTATGTTAATATAACTAGTTCTACATAAATATACTACTACTGTCTGTTGCATGTTCATGTAATTACTTCTGTAAAAATATAAAAGTACTGTCTTTGTCTGTCCATGTGCCCATTTCTATATAATTATAATAGTAATGTCTGTTGTATGTCCATGTAACTATTTTTATATAAATAAAATTGAACTGTCTGTTTTATGTTCATGTTTTTATAATTTTTAAACTTAGTTATATCTTTAGTATTTCTGTGTTAATATTTGTGTTGATCATGTTTCAACATTAAAATATATTTAGATGTTCATCAAATTAAGTAATTATGATATCTTTATTATTACCTATTTTTTACATCATTTATATCTACTTCAGATAAAGAGACCAGTGGGAACATCTGTAGTGGAACTCAGTTTCCTGGTTATGTTATAACACAAGAAAATCACTTTACAGAAGACGTAAAATCCGAAACTAACAATATTAGTGGAGAAAAAAAATTAAGTGGAAATAACCTAAAAGCATCTATCGTACATCTATGTGATGATAAACTATACAGTTGTGGAAAACAATTTGAGAATAATAGTCACTTAAAAATACATAAAAGAAAACACACTGGGAAGAAACCATATAGTTGCACAGATTGTGGAAAACAGTTTGGATACAAGAGAACTTTAAAATTACATGAAAGAATACACACTGGAGAGAAACCATATAGTTGCACAGACTGTGGAAAACAATTTGGATACAAGAGTGCTTTAAAACTACATGAAAGAATACACACTGGGGTGAAACCTTACAGTTGTGCAGTGTGTGGAAAACAGTTTGGAACAAACACACATTTAAAAGTACATGAAAGAAAACACACTGGGGTGAAACCTTACAGTTGTGCAGTGTGTGGAAAAACAGTTTGGAACAAACACACATTTAAAAGTACATGAAAGAATACACACTGGGGAGAAACCTTACAGTTGTACAGTGTGTGGAAAACAGTTTAGAACAAACACACATTTAAAAGTACATGAAAGAATACACACTGGGGTGAAACCTTACAGTTGTACAGTGTGTGGAAAACAGTTTAGCCCATTTCTGTATAAATGTAATAGTACTGTCTGGTGGTTGTTCATGTAACTTCTTCTATATAAATATAATAATATTTTACATGAACATACAAGAGACAGTACTATTATATTTATATAGAAGTAGTTATCTGAACATACAGCAGACAATATTATTGTGTTTATATAGAAGTAGTTACGTGAACAGACAAAAGTCAGTACAGTTATATTTTTATAGAAGTAGTTACGTGAACAGACAAAAGTCAGTACAGTTATATTTTTATAGAAGTAGTTACATGAACATACAACAGAAAGTACGATTATAATTATATAGAAGAGGTTTCATGAACATGCAGCAGACAGTATTATTCTATTTTTATAGAAATAGTTACATGGCCCTACAAAAGACAGTATTATCATATTAATAAAGAAGCAGTTACATGAACATAGAACAGACAGAACTATTATATTAATAAAGAAGGAGTTACATGAACATAGAACAGAGAGTACTATTATATTTATATAGAAGTAGCTACATGGATATAGAACAGACAGAACTATTATATTAATAAAGAAGGAGTTACATGAACATAGAACAGAGAGTACTATTATATTTATATAGAAGTAGCTACATGGATATAGAACAGACAGAACTATTATATTAATAAAGAAGGAGTTACATGAACATAGAACAGAGAGTACTATTATATTTATATAGAAGTAGCTACATGGATATAGAACAGACAGAACTATTATATTAATAAAGAAGGAGTTACAT